GACCGTATTTTATTAGAATTGCCAAAATTTCTTCAGAATCGATAACCTCTCTTGCATTTCACTTTGAGTTCCTGTATGAACATTGCTCCTTTGTTAGTTGTCGCTGTTTTCGGTTCACTAAACTTCTGTATGCTAGACAGTCAAATTTTGCTACCATGGTAACAATGGTTGCACTGATATGTTTTGTTATGTTTTTCTAAGTTCCGAATTATTCGTGTGTTTGCCGTCGAGATTTTGATGTTTGTGTACAAACGACTGTTAGCAACTTTAGAGGAGATCGATCGCATAAAAACTGCTCAGCCGTTCTTGTTCATAGATCCGCAAACACCATACGCTCGTAATAAACAACAGTAGCACGACATAACAGATACTGACAAATAAAACGATGTTGAATACTGAGGACCTTGATGTGGCTCTAGGCCTTATAGATTCAAAATAGTAGTAACGCAAAGTTTTATCCCCTAACCATCGCCGTGAAACATGCCCAGTTAGTTTAGACTTCCCTGTAGATGACTGCTCATCTGTATAACTAATGTAGACATAAATTTTCTAGTAACAACATAACCTGCAAAGTCTGTTTTCGTAGACTCCGTAGCCTTACGGCATCGTTACTAGGAAAAATCACGGGAAAAAGGAGTGCTTACCTAGTACGTAAACTTCTTTAGTATATTTCATTTGTAACGGACGGGATTTCGCTTTTCTTAATTGCTGGAAATCATTTAGGACATTTTAGAATATATTCCATGTCATAAACTCTCAAGATATAGTCGTCTGCTAAGAAGTATATGCGTAATGTCTAGCACTATGTTGAGCCCACATGGGTTTTTGTAACTTCTGAACGAACTGGTTTATTCATAATTTATGGACCACACTTTTATCATGGTAATTATTCGCTTCTAAGCCTTGATATATTTTAAGTGTGTATATGTGCTAATTATTTACTCCACTAACTGCGTGTATACAGTTTAATTTTCGTCTGAATATAAGTGTTATGTCACGCTTGATCAAATCGAGTAGGCTCATTTGCATTCTGTGCTGCGCTTACCGCTTCTAATTGCTAATGTCTATCTGGATAAACAAGTTCTTGAAATAAATTCATCCAATGCAACCCGCCTTCGGCTTCTTATTGCCACCGTCATACAAACGCAGTTTGCCTATGCAATCTGCCGAGTTAAATGGAAGATTTGTGTTTGTAGTAACTTTGTACGATCAAATTAGAGTCAGATAACGGGCCGCAAAATATGTTAGGTCGTTCAGAATACTATCCAACACAGTAATACAAGTGAGCAAATGAACAAAAGTTATGAGAATCACAGAAGGACAAAATCTACAAAACCATCTATTAATAGACATAGATTGAAATAAAAGTGTTCGGCAAAAATTAATTCTTACTGAAAAATTTCTTCTGATGGAAAGCATACAAAAACATACCATACGTATACCTACATATCATTCAGCGTTTTCTGAATTATAAAGGCACCCATACCACTACATTAAGCTAGCTAGCAAACACGCCACCGATCTGAGGAACTTTATATAAATTCTGCGTTGTCTAAAGTCGCTCAAGGTCGCCAGTGGAAAGAAGCGGTGATCTAAATTCCAGGTTAGCCGTGCATAGTATGAGTGTGACCGTCGCATAAGTTACCCGGATAACTCGTAGTCCTATCAGATTGTCTTAGTTTCACGCTTCTTTTTCCAGTCCTTGACAGTTGCTTTTCGTATTGAGTGTGCTTGCATTTTGCGCATGCCGAGTCGTCGACTTTCATTATCCTGTTTTTATTTTCCAGCTTTCTGCACACCCGCTCCTCCAGTACCCCGAGTATATTTGGGCTAGACGCAAACTACCATAGTGATCAAAGCTAGACAACAATGTTTGTTTTAGGTGACTCTACACTGCAGAAGCCAAAATCTGGTTATCTGTTATATTTGTCAAAAGTATGCAATTTCCTCAGGATAGCTTTCCACATTGGGTATATTCCACTCATCATATACTTCGGTGTGACAAACCAAGGCCGTCCTCTCGAGTTTCCTATTTCATTATGGAGCGTCTTTATGCCTCTTTCTCCAGGGCAGTAGTGAAGTAGTTTCAAATGTATTTAGTATTTAAAGGCTGTTAATTGTATATCAAGTACCGAATAAAATTTATCAAAACAATTGTTGTTGTCTCCTGCTGCAGTCATTATTCATTCTTAGGACCTTGTGGTTGATCCGGCTAGAGGATGTACATGTCCAGTATTCGTTTATGATTTATGACTGCATATCTACCGTTTTATGGTGCACAATCATAATCTATCAACCTTAATCCCAAGAGTAGGGAATTTGTAAGTACTTTTTTATTACAGGCGGTCAGGTGTATTCAATGGAGACGTCATGGTTTCTAAGATTGTCCCGTTATATTGTAGCTGGTGGTTTGATTGGTCTGGCTTAACTGTTTGCCTTCTCACTCGCTCATGTACATATATGGGAGAGATTGCACATCACCTTGACTAGCTAGACTTACGACGGGTTAAAATGACTGATAGTTTCAGAATGGTGGATTTTATGGTCTAAACCAGATGCAAATGGGCGTTTGTTTCGATGTTTTGTGTAAGCTTCCTGCGTATGATGGTGACAAGTCAAACACATACATCAGTGTCATACAGACAAGTCTGTCTATCAGCCTCGACTCAGTTTGCAAAATCGGACATACTGTTTCCTATAGTTGGTTATCTTCTCCCTCGAAATAGAATCTAAGTTGCAAATTTAATCCAGGGTTATGGAAGTATTGTGTATTCCCTAACTAAAGGCTTACGCACTCGACCACGTGGTAGTTTGTATGTGCGACTGAGGTATGTAATTAGTTACCCACTACCCGATTCGGGTCCGCGTGACTGTCGTAACCAATGGTTGAAGACTTTGGATGAGAATAATGAAAACCGTTTGGAATGGTGCAGGTGCATCCATTCTTTGTCTTCTTCCACATTCCAAGCTTTTGAACTCCTCATAAGGTTATTGTTATCAGTTCACCTATGTATATTTCCTAGAATCGTATCATTGATGCGTAATCCTCTATATTGTCACTGATTTCGTTACTCTCTCTACTACTGTAAGATTTGGCATAATAATTCCATTTGTCTGGTAATGGGATATGGCAACGTGAACCGATGTATATGTTTCATTTCCTACGCTAGGACTGACTGACGAACATATGATTCTTAATATTGCCGAAGCTGGAAACCAGCTTGTTATTTCAACAAGAGGGTTATCGCCTCCACCTATGCACTCGCTTCCAAAAATACCGAAAGACCAGATAGTAGCCTCATTCAATCTTCAACTCAATCATGTCAACAAAAATGCAAGTAGTAACTTACTGACACTACCGTTCAAACCTGAAATCTGGTCTGTAATACCATAGCTGTGCCAACAAACTATCCTGAGTTTCATGCGTTTATTCGACTTGTAAATCTTGAGATCCCAGGTATGTAGGTACGTCCGTTATAATGAGGACTATATGTTCAAATCTTAACTTCTTCGAAATGTTACAGACTTATGCAATTATGGACTTCAAAAAAACCAATCAATCAGAGACAACTTACAACGACCCTTGTACGAGCCAACTTTCCGTTAACCATTGCTAATGGAACAAGCATACCACCGGCATGAGAGACAGATTACTGGTGAGATCCTAGATATTTCTGGGTTACTTTACTGCATTTTTCAATAAATCCTAGGCTATCACATACTTGGAAAATCGTGGTGTGTATGCAGTATATCTGCTGCGCAGCAGATCGCAATACGAAAGGATCCACATAGTCTAAAAAGACATCCAACGTAGTCTGAATCCCTTGTAACAAAAAGGGACTAATTTTTTTTAAATAGTATTCCAGTCTGTGTTTCGGGAATGCCACGAAGACCACTTTGTGATACATTCTTCGTTGCTTCCTTTATTTCTACTTCTTAGCACTACAATCAATGGAAGACCCAGAAACCCGATTGATTTCTGAAATACCAGAGTATTCAGGCACATGATGTAAATCCTTTCACAAAGGAGTCGACCCTGATGTTTATTGTACGGTCTTCTAATCGGTAGAAATTATCTTAATCTCAGGATGTGTTCAGATTGCAATGGTCACCTAACCAACGTTACTTAGAAAATGATCTTCAGTGGGATATTACAGCTCAAAATGAAAAAGTAATAGTGTTTTTAAAAACATATCTAGGAATTTATCCTGCACAGTTGGTTATTCTTTTTTTTCGAGTCTAAACCAGTAAACAGAGAACCATTAGAAATCTAAGTACACTAAGCACTCAACTTACATCGGGTCAAGACTAGTCTAACTAATAAAGAAAACTCCTGTCTTATCTTTTTTTTAGTCATCTAATGAGAATGTAAGCAGTGAAGCTACATCGAATAGCGCCAATTCCAAAACAAAGAATATCAAACAAACTGAAGCGAATTATGACAACTCATTTAGAGCCAATTTATCTAATACTCATAATCTAATAAACGAGTAATCCACTAGGCGATCTTCATAAGTAATCACAGGTATGTCACTGATTCTTAATCTAATTATGATATCTACAATGACTGTTGGAATCTTGTAATTAGACCATTGGCCTTAAAGATTACAACACTTGATGCGTTGTCAAAGGTAAATGGTGATTGGTTGGTGTTTCTGGACAATGGATATCTGATTCATCATTCTTCCACTCTGTATTTGATAGAATGTATTTTTTCAACTATAAACGGTGCTCGTAATCAGCCCATAGTTGAAGTGTGAGGAAATAACTACGTGTTTGGGCTTAAAGTACCATGCGAATAAGATACGCCTAATGTGACAGAACTGCTCTCTGTCTGAATTGAGTGACATTACAAAAATACTAAAAGTATATACATGAGCTACCTATCTTTTTATATGAAAGTCAACTGATCTAAAAAGCAACTGGTCGAAAACCCCAAAGACAAGATTATACAGAAGTCACTACGAAATATAAGAAAAAAAGTGAATCATTTATATTTTTCACAACAAATTAGTTGCTGGTTCACTGAATGCATAACAAACGTCCCCATAAGGTGTATTTCTTTTGATAATATCAGCTACTTCATCGCCTAACTTATTGCGTACGCCGTAAACCGGTGCACCAGGTTGAGCCATTAATAAATATAATGTCTCGGGTCCTTGGTTGTTTGAAACAGCTAAATGTAAAGCGGTTTGTCCACTATTTGTAACTAATAAAAAAAACCCAGTGTTGAATCGATTAGAAAGAACAATAGGTCTTATTTTATGGTAAGAAATGTAAAAGTAAATATGATACTACTCAAAAACTATAGATTCGTGTATTGGGTTTTGAGGTAAATTGTGTATGAGGGTTAGTGACACTAACTATTTGCTCAAACCGAAGGCGAGATGTTAGTGGGACATGTGATTCAGTGGCTGAAAGTTAGACCTCTTAACTAGTAAATCACTGGCTCCTAAAAATTGAATGTGGTTTAGGTTTAAGTAAGTTGTACGAATATCAATTGGACTCCGCGTTATTAACTAGTCAGTCAGTCAATCAAACGAAGTTTACATATCCATTAGGATAATACGGTAATAAACAATAGCAGATGGACTTGCACAATATATTTATTGGCGAAATGATCATGGAAATAATCATATGGAAAAGTCTATTTTTATTATACTACCTAGCGTTAAGTGATCTACGCGTCTTGACTAACTAATAAACCCAGACTAGTGAACTTTGTATATTCGATATAATTTCTGTAGTTTCATAAAACGAAGTGCTGCTATATGGATTAGGAAATTGATTATGGGATAATGGTTAGTTAGATTCTGTAGATATATTACATACCTATTGTAATGAAGAAAGGTTTAGTGTACCGTTTCCAAGATTGAAGTTTTTAAACCTTAGTGTCGAATATTGGAGAGGCATATTTTAATAGTTAGAGGATTTGCAAGCTATTATCAGTCATACAAGAAAAAAACATTCGACATTTATTGCATCGATACTTGGTAAGCATAAAAACAACAAACAAGAAAGCTTTCATGAAGTAAGATATTAATGACAAACATTAAATGAGACTGAAATATACTTAACTTTAATATACATATCACAATGCTTATTATCTAATCTATGTGAATAACATTACTTATACTCAAAAGCATAAAGATAACTAACTTACGAGCATTTAAATCTGCACCAGCTGCAATAAGTAATTGAACACAAGATAATTTATTCCAGAATGCGGCACTGTGTAGTGGTGTCCATCCATCTTCTGTTCTATTGTTTATGTTTGCTCCGTATTTCATTAGACACTAAGTTGAAGGAGTATAAACAAAAGTATATGTTAAAATAATGTATAACATCCTAAATAATACATAGAAACACCAATGATCTTTCTAATTATTTTTCAATCAGAACTAAATACTCAATAATCTGAAGGTAATGTGTTAATCGATAGGCCTGTGTTTAGTACCCGGACAGGGACACAGGTGCCTAATGCTGAAGAGTCACAAGCTAGGACATAAAGTTCTCCAATGTTCGCTACTTTAATAGGGCTTTGAAGTTGGTGGCTTGTCTAAGTGCCTGACTTTTATTTATTAGATCATAATTTCAAAACCTGATTAAGCACGTAGGTAATAAAACTAGCTTTTACACAAACGCACCTTAAATGAGAGTACATAGTTAGGCTTTATAAGTGAATCAGATTATTTACCGAACATTACTAATCAATATTTAGACGATAAAAAAGTGGAGGATATTAAGTTGAAAATTAAACGAATTGTAAATAAGTACTTCATCATATAAATTAGAAAATAAACTAATAATTGCCGATAATCATTGGAGTGAATATACAAATGATGTATGGGTGAGGGAAATGATGACTGATTATTTACGAAGTTAGACTAGAAGATAGTCTGACAGGTAATAGGTGTTATATATTTTCCTACCTTTATTATTATTGTTGTCGGGGTGGAAATGTACTTACGTTCTAGTCATGCCAATCGCGTGCTCTTGATCCGAATTGTGTTGAAGTCCTGTAGAATAGACACTGGGGAGGGTATCTAATATAGAGTTGGAGGATATGGAGAATTCACTAAGGGGGGGGGTTGAAAACCCTCATTCTAAACCAATGGTGCACATGGGATTCACAATCCTGAGGGAACAAATGGCATATGAACATATTGTTGGTCACCATCTGCTATGGGATTGCAGCTCTTAACGTCGCTCCACTGCCTTGTGGATCAAACCTTTAGGTCAAACGCTCAGAGTGGCCCTCTAAAAAAAACCACCTGTTTCGGTTTGGGCGCGCAGGCAGTATCCCAACCCTCACATAAATCGAATGATTTATGTGGCGCATATCTATTTGGTGCCTCCTCTTATCAATGTTTGTGTGTTTAAATAAATTTTGAACATTGATAAAATTTCAACCATGAAAATATTGTATAAACCAAAAAGTGTCGATAATTCGTTACTGTTCTTAAGAAGCATTCCACTGTCAAAATGAACCACGTGATACTCTCGTAAGATTATAATTTTTCCGATGCCTTATGTTAAACGTGATTACAAACAGGCGGCAGTTGAATTATGACGACTAGAAACAAAGTACCACATATAGTCGAAATTCAATTCTAAAAAAGTCCTCGGACAAATCTTTGTGCACATTTCATCACCTAAAATTAATCAGTGTACAAACTTTATTTACCTGTAAAACTTCTACATGTCCTCCATATGCTGCACGATGCAATGCCGTATAGCCATCTTGATCTTTAGCCGATAACAATTCTTTTAACTCCACCACTCCTTCAGCATCTTTTTGCTTAGCTGACTCAATAAGGCGATGGATAGTAGATAGATCATTGTTTTCTGCTGCGACAATAAATTGTTTCTTTGGATCACCTAAACTACGTTTTTGAAAAATAAGTTTTTGATAAACATCTAACGAAAATTCAAAGATAGTTATTTTTTATAAAACAACAAATATCACTCAGTCAAATATAACGCATGACCTAACACATATGTACATCGGTTCACGTTGTCATATCCCTTTCACTAAACACAAATCAAAATATTACGCCAAATCTCACAGTAGTAGACGTAGTAACGAAATCAGTGACAATGTAAAAGGGTGAGAGTATAATTTATGGACAAATCAATCAGGTATAAGATAACGAGTCATGTATTTTGGCGCGAAATTCATTCATACATATGGCTAAATAGAGTTTTGGCATTATAACTGATGTCAGTTCGTGATGAAAACCCTAAATCTAGTTCCTAACTCTAACCACCAGCTGTAAATCATAATTCTAACTCGTTTATAACCCTCATTTACTCCTAATCAGTAGGTGTCCATTCTCAAGGCCACTTCAGCATCGCTCGAAGGTCGTCCATAAATTAATCTCACCTATAAAAGATTAGGCATTGAAGGTACGATTCTAGGAAATATAAATAGTTGAACTGATAACAATACCCTTATGAGGAATTCAAAAGCTTGGAATGTGGAAAAAGACAAAGAATTGATGCACCTGCACCATTCCAAACGATTTTCACCATTCTCATTCAAAGTCTCCAACCATCGGTTACGACAGTCACGCGGACTCCAACCAGGTAATCGACAATTAATAACATGGCCCAGTCGATGACTTCATAAAATGGTGCAATCTTCCGGTCTGGCTGCCACTAGCTTTCTTCCAACATACTTCTACACACCAGACAACATCCATAACGAGGTGGGCAGTTGGTAGGTATACGTAACACATGTCCCAATTATCTCAGTTGATGGAGACTTACTATCTTATCAAACGACTAGATATCTTTGTCTAGTACCCTAGTTATAACCGAGGATTACTGACTATGTGATTCCAAAATATACAACCAAAGCTTCGAAGACACCTAAGGTCAAATATGAATAGCCCACGAGTATCCTCTAATTTTCAAGGTCCACGTAGAATAAAAGACCAAGTAGAATGAAGCGAACTGCTATGCAGTAAACTTGTCATTTAGTTGAAAAACGGATATTTCGCCTACCTCAAAAGTGATGCAAGATATAAATAATTTATTATATCTGTAAATTGTTTTGCTCTTGTAAGATTGTTGGTTTAATATAATTTAGACATACAACGTTAGTAAATACTACTTTTAACCAAGTAGAATAGAGTGCGATCTCTGTACTCCGCTATTTTCAAAAGTCTATCTTAAGTAAACAAAAGATATACTTCTGAAAGATTAACATTAACAATACTGTTAATAAAATTAGGTGGTTTTTAACTGATAAAAACAGCTAACTTCAGTTCTCAAATGTAACACAATTTAAAACAGCAAACGTTTTTAGTGAACGTAATTATTCCAAACAAATATTTGCTTCGCGAAGTGTCTTAAAAAATTCAATCTACATTTTTAAAAAAAACATCTATTCGGTCCACATTAGGTCTCATATCTGCTCACAAACTAATTCCCTTAAACTAGTTAGTAAACAATAAAGACTATAGTATTTCAAGATTTATTTGCCTCTACTAACGTTGATGTCCAACTATAGATTTAAGTGGAACATGCAAAATTCACAAGAATTAAAGCTGAGTAGAATAGAATCGACCACGAAAATAAATTTTTAAAAAACTAATTGGAAATTGGCAGAGAGATGTGAAAATTTCAAGAATCCAAATCAATGAGACTGTCGAATAAAACTAATATTTGTGTAATTAATCAAGTAAAGAAAAGAACAAAAACACGTCAGTTACTCAGTATTTACTCACAATAGTTATACATTTATGACAAAATGTTGTATTAGTGTTATTATTCTACTTTATGGGTATCAGGCATAACTATTAGGGATGGAAGATGTTAGTAAGTTACTAATATTCGATCATAAGTATTGATGACAATTGGAAATGACCTGAATGACAAATACAAGTTATCGGCTAAGAAATGAATTGGTGCCAAGGGGTAGAAATGCATACGTATATATGAATGAATATTTATGCATATTGTTCGCGGGTACAATAGGCTATCTCTTCCACTGATCGTGTGTTGACAGCTTCACTTATCTTGAAAGTCTCATCAGTCTTGATGTGCTAGTGTGTTTGAAGAAATCTGCACGGATTCAAAAGGCTCCATTAACTTTTTCGATCCGCGTCGCTTGTGGTGTAGGGGAGATATCTGTCTGTCGACCAAAAGAAGAGTTTACAATGCAGCAGTTCATCTCGTTTTACTTTATGCGTGTAAGGCAAAACTAATAAGAATAGTGATATTAGTGGGTTATTAGTATTCGAGCATAGGTGTCTTCGAAACATTGCTCGTATATATCGGGACTGTCGAATGAGTAATGTATAGTTTAGGTATAGGACACTAAGTAAAGATGGCTATCGAATGATGGCGTGGTAAATCTTCATCAACTGAGGTGATTGGGCATACGTAACATACCACAACCATTGTTTACCTCGATGGCGTGTGTTGCCCAGTGTAGGATTAGACTGGAAGAGGGCTAGTGTTGGTCAGACCAAAACGTGGCGTCAATTCATGAACTGTTGGACCGAGTCATGTAGGTTAGTACAGATTACCTGGTTGAGATCCACGTGACCACTACAACTAATGGTTAGATTTTGAATGATATAATTAAGAAAAGTCCGAGACAGCGCAGGCGCATTCATTCATTTTATCTATCTGTGTTAATGTGCTGTGGCAAATTGAACCAACGAATATATATATATATATATATATATATATATATATATATATATATGTAGTGGTTATTTTTATTTAGCTTCATGAAACTAGTCTCTGAATGCCCTGGTACGACTGAAGGTGGGGAGTCCTTTCGCCTTCTCGAAATGTTCTCACATAGCCACGCGTATACAGCCACTGATTGAGAATTCCTACTCGCTGCCTTCTCGTGGCAGGGGTGTTGTTTATAAAATCAAGTGGACGAAAAGCGAATGTCCAGCGCTTTATTGAGGTTAGTGGATACGAAGGATCCACTAAGGGGAGTTGGAAAACCCTCATTCCAAACCAATGGTGCACGTGGGATCCACGATCTTGAGGGAACAAATGGCATATGAACATATTGTTGGTCACCGGCTACCATGGGACTGTATTTCCGAACGTTGCTCCACTGCCTTGTGGGCTAGACCCGTAGGTCAAACGCTCGGAGAGTGGCCCCCTAAGAAAACCACCTGCTTCGGTTTGGGCATCCGGGAAGTATCGCAGGCCTTACACAAACCGGATGATGAAATGTGGCGCATAAATATTTGGTGCCTGATTGTACCAATGTTTATGTGTTTAAATAAATAAAATTAGGAACTAATAATATGTATAAAGTGCAAATATTATGCCATTACAATTCACATAAAATTTTATTTCCTTTCAATATTATGTGGTTGAAGATTATTACTACGACTCTCTGGAACATAGGTTTCGTGTACTGGTTGGCACTTATCAGCAAAGTATAGTACATGCATTCTTGAGATAGCTGATGCACTTCGTGAACAAAAACAACGGAACAGTTGACTTTTCCGTCACAACTATTATTTTCAAGCAAAAATGCACCGAGGATTATGGTATCATTAGAATTTCGAGGACTTACTTGACGGTTAGCACTAAAGACTAACATTTGTCATTTTGACACAGATGTGCCACTTTAAAATTCATAACCAAAAACTAGGTTTGGATTTAAAAAGACTAAGAAACGAAAGCTGCATACCACAAAAAATCCATTGTCATTATGAGTGCAAGCGTGTTTCATTCTCCATGCCTATCTTAGCTGAGACCTTAACGTGTTAGATGGGTCTGCCTATCGTCATGGTCCAAATGACTCATATTGCTAGGCAGGTTTGATTGGAGAGTAATAGAACTAAAACCAGAAACGGCAAAGTCGTACCCCTGGATAGTAGAGTGTGATTGTAGTGCACGTTTCCTCAGCATCTGCAACAATACTACCTTCCCATAACGAAAGGAGAGGTTAGAAATTGTTTTCCTTAAAAATATTATCCCTAACATTGGTCCACGACTCTATGATTGTAGATAACAACAGGATAAATTCCAGGTCAACAGAATAAGCTCTTAGTTAATTGTGGAGAAATTCTAATCGTTTGGTTCTCTTTGAATCACGTGTTAGTGTTACTCAGATGAACAATCGAATCTTCCAAACTAAATCATTCAGTTTAGAGACCATAACATAGACTATAGGTCTCCTCGCAAGAGGATGGGCCTGTCTCGACTAGCCTCTAGAACTTTTCTAAGGTTTCCACTTAAACTTCCGAGTTTCCATGACCACTACTACTAGTTTAGTTTTCTTTTCTGACACTCCGAAAATGAGTACTCTTCCGCGGTATGGTAAAACGTGAAGCAACAACTACCCGAATTCATTGAGTGTACTATACAATAAGCGAGTTCACTGTTATCAATGTAACAGAAATCTATATGTAAACTTTGAGTCAATACAGAAAAGCTTACTGTTATCTAAAGAGAAACTACATCGTAAAGAACCAAAGACACAAAACAATGAAACACTCCATACCTTTTATTTGATCATTTGTCCATAAACTAATATCATTTTCATCTGCCTGCCAAGCACTGACAAACATACCAGGATTATTACGTTTGGCAGCCATCACCTAGAAATACAAGTTTATATATTTTACTAAATTAATTTTTGACAATGAAAAGTATTATTTGATGTAATTTTTGCATTACATATGCTTAAGATTCAATGGGACTGTGCTTGATGATGGTGCATATCTTATTAAACTTTGGTGATGAGATACAGAACACTACATATATTCTTAGAGTTTCCTTTATTGAATCATTTTTAAAATAGATTGTTTTAATCTAATAAAGCTTAACATGAAACTATACATGTTAAATATGCTAACTTACATCAATTGCCAACAATAACTGAATATATTATATAATCATTTAGTGAATATTTTAATTTAACGGTAGATCTGGATATAGTTAATGAATCACAACAATATTCAATCAGTTTGAGTTTAATTATGTGAATAAATGGTTTAATTTTACCACTGAAGTCCTTCATTTAAATCATTTTATATGAACAATCATTTATTTTTGCCATATGATTGTAGACAACAATTATATTCCTACAGAAAATGTATGTAATTAGGAACTACTAATCGACTAAGCGGAAGTATCAATATTTTAAATATTGAAGTCTGCTAGCCGAAGCACTAAAGTCAGACATAAAAGTAACTGCAAAGACATTCTATGTTCCATTCAGGAAGATTTGGGAGGAGGAACAAGTGCCAACAGACTGGAAAGGATACCTCATCAAGATACCAAAGAAAGGAGATCTGAGCAAGTGCGAGAACTACAGAGGCATCACATTACTGTCAGTACCAGTAAAGGTTTTCAACTGAGTGTTTTTGAACTGGATGAAAGACTCAGTAGACACCCAACTTCAAGATCAACAAGCTGGATTCCATAAGGATCGATCGTGAACAGACTAAATCGCGGCACTACGGATCATCGTTCAATAATCAATTGGATGGAACTCGTCACTATACATCAACTTCCTTAATTAAGAGAAAGCATTTGACAGTGTAGATACGAGAAACTTATGGAATCTTCTTTGAGACTATGGTGTACCTGAGAAAATCGTCAATATCATGCGGAATACATATGACGAACAACAGTGAAAAGTCGTCCATGAAGGACTGTTGACAGACGCATTCCAAGGGAAGACTGCTGTCAGAGAAGGCTGTTTACTCACGTCCCTTCTTTTCCTTCTGGTGGCTGACTGGATTATGAAGACCTTGACGTCTGATGGGAAGCACGGAATACAATGGACATCTTGGATGCAACTAGACGGTTTGGACTTCGTAGATGACCTAGCACTTCTATCCCATATACATCAATAAATCCAGGTCAAGACAACCAGTGTAGCAGCAGCCTCTACATCAGTAAGCCTAAACATAGACAAATGATAAAGTAAGATCCTAAAATACAACATGGAGAACACAAACCTAATCACACTTGATGAAGAAACCCTGGAAGATGTGGAATCTTTCACGTACCTGGGCAGCATCATCGATGAATAAGAAGGGTCGGATGCAGACGTAAAGGCGAGGACTGGCAAAGTAAGGGAAGAATTACTACTTCTGAAGAGCATGTGGAACTCGAAGGATTTGTCAACCAATATAAAAGACGGAATTTTCAATACGAACGTCAAGATAGTTCTATTATTTATTTATTTGAACACATAAATATTGGTACAGGGGAGCACCAAATATATATGCGCCACACAAAACAATGATAATTTGAAGAGAAGGAGAAAAAAAAAGTAATGAACGTGGGGAATTATAAATAAATAAAAAAAAGAGAGAGAGAACAATGATGGGGAAAACGGAAAGGTACAATCAGAAGAGATCTTTCAGTTAAGGAAGATACAACCACTTTTTATGAAGAAAGTAAAAGAAGGTTACAGCAGGATCGCCACTGGCTTCTATTCTGAGCCATATCTGATAACGTCTCTAGACACTGCGTTACCCCATCTCTAGGACCCCAACCAGGGAGTCGTGAAGGACCAACAGAAGCTAGCCCTTTGCAGCTTTCTTTCATACCACGACACCATGTCATATACTGACCACCTCTCCGCTTTTTCCAACCAGTCCCAGAGTCGGCAAATAATGCACGACGAGGAATTCTCTGGGACGACATTCGTAGAACATGTCCAAGCCACCGAAGTCGGTGTTTCAAGATGGTGACACCAATTTCATTATCGTCTCTGTGACCGAACACACGATGCCGGACCTCTGCATTACTGACATGGTGTTGCCACTGGATGCCAGCAATCCTTCGGAGACAACGATGATCAAACACAGAGAGTCGTGTAACATCCTCAACTCGGAGAGGCCAAGTTTCATAAGCATAGAGCAAAACTGCTCTCACTGTCGCGTTGTAGATCCGACCTTTTACAGCCGGACTAACATCACGAAGGCGCCAAAGGTGGCCCAGATTGGCATAAGCCGCTCTGGCTTTCACTATGCGTGCATTGATCTCATCACTCACGCCACTACCAGCACTTATGCAGCTACCTAGATACACGAACTTCTCGACCACTTCTATCTGCTCACCGTCCAGAGTGAGTACAGGATTAGAATCCTGCCAGCCTTGTAGGAGTACTTTGCACTTTGAAGGTGCGAAGCACATACCATACCTACGGACATTGATTGCTAACTGATTAAGTGCGGATTGCATGGCTTGGGCATTCTCGCACAGTAAGACAATATCATCCGCATACTCAAGGTCGAGAAGTCTTTCTCCAGGCAACAGATCCACACCACCATTACTTACATCCATCAGAGCTGTTTACAGAATGTCATCGATGGCAAAGTTGAAGAGGAATGGTGAGATTGGGCAACCCTGCCTAACTCCACTGCTCGAATGGAATAGTGGAGAAAGGTGGTTGTATGCCCTCACTCTGACTGAGGTGTTTGTGTATAGGGCTTTTAGGATGTTAATAAACTTCTCAGGCACACCCTTCTTCAATAGACAATCCCAGAGAACAGTTCTGTCCAACGAATCGAAGGCATCCCTGATATCAAGAAACACTACGATTGTTGGCCTTTGATAAGTATGGCGGTGTTCTAACACTTGGCGGAGGGTGAAGATATGATCAATACATCCTCGATCAGAACGAAACCCAGCCTGCTCCTCGCGAGTCAATCCTTCTCGGGTTCTGAACAATCTACGAAGTATGACGGAAGCCAATAACTCGGACGCAATCGGAAGTAGACTCATCCCCCGATAGTTGTTACAGGAACAACGTGAACCCTTTTTAAAGATAGGGACAACTATCGACTCATTCCATGACGTTGGTACACACTCTAGTTCCCAGACCTTTGCAAACAACGTCGTCAGTCCCTTAGTCAGAAAGTCACCACCATCTTTAAAAAGAGCCGGAGGTAAGTCGTCTGGGCCCGGTGATTTGTAACGTTTCAAGAGTTGGAGTTCCTTGCGGACTTCCGCCTCATTTGGTGGATCAGTCGTCACCGGCCATGGAGGGCAGGACAGTTTGACCGATGTTGCCGGAGCAGCAGGCCAGTTGAACTGCCCTTCAAAGAATTCTGCCCATCGTCCAAGACGTCGATGGATGTTAGTGATCGGCGTTCCGTCATCCTCGCAGATTGTTTCGCTCACACCAGACTTCTTGCTGCCAGTGGCTCGGATGAGTTGGAAGAGCTTCCGGTAATTACCAGAGGCAGCTGCTGCTTCCAGCTCATTAGCACGCTCCGACCACCAGGCTTGTCGGTCCTTACGCAAGCTTTGCCCGATTTCATTACGTAACATCCTTCGTCTGTGGTCAAACTCACGGTCACCCGGAGTAGACCGACGGGCTTCAATCAGTTGTAAGGAACCAGAAGAAACCCAGTGCTTGTAAGCGGGACGTTTCGCGAACCCACACCAGACTTGACCCGCCATTTTCATGGCGTCATGCAATTGCAACCAATGCTCATCTATACTTTCCGGTGGAATGGTAGCTAGCCTAGAAGCTAGCTCGGTTCGGTACATACTAGCAATAGAAGTTGCAGCCAGCTTGATAACATCAATCCTTTGGTGGCGGTCACTTCGTTGTACACTGAAAAGTAAGGTAAGATTGGCGCAGACCAGAGCATGGTCAGATTCCAGATAGGTACTCCAAAAGGAGCGGCAGTTTTGTACACAACCACGCCAGCGGTAGCTGATCGCGGTGTGATCAATCTGTATCCAGGCTTGAGATGTAGAAGGGGGACGCCAGGTGGCACATCGGCGATGACTGTACCGAAAGTTAGTGCTAGCCAGAAACAGGTTGTGGTCTGTGCATAGTTGCAGTAGACGTTCCCCGTTATCTGTCCTGCGACCAACGAGTCCCCATCGGCCACCTAAACGACTCTCTTCTGTGCCTAGACGCCCGACCTGAGCATTCAAGTCTCCAGCTACTACAATATCTGTCGAGCGCACTTTCTGGAGAAGAACAGTTAGATGATGGTAGAACTCGTCCTTGATTGCATCCGGGCTGCAATCTGTTGGGGCATAGGCGGAGATGACGAAAAGACATCGTTTCTCACGCCTATTTCTTCTCACTTTGATGGAACTTTCTAATCTAACAGCACATAACCGACTGTTAATGGGGATCCAGTCGACTAGTGCTGCCTCAGCTCTAGTGTTTAGTGCAACACCAACGCCAGCAAGACCAGACGAAGATGCTACAGGGTCCCCGGATAAACGCACGTAAAACAAGCTTTTTGAAGCGACAGATGGAGAGCGAACTTGTAGTACTTCACCCGAGTCTTGAATACGGGTCTCGGATAGACAACACACGTCAATATTAAGACTTTTCAAAGACATAGCCAGTCCTATCTGTTGTCCGACCTGCATAAGTGTGCGAACGTTGAAGGCAGCCAGTTTGAATGGTGCACGTGGTTTCAGAAAAACTGCTTCAGTACTCATATTCGGTGGTAACATACAATTTTCAACCAGGCAGTGACTCGAGAACGTTTAGATAAAGCTGAATTTTCACCATAGGTGAGCTGCTGTCTAGGTCGAAACGGATACATAAAGTAGGAATAAGAGAGGGTGAATAAATGACGTGGTAGAGTAATAATAATAATAATAATAATAATAATAATAATAATAATAATAATAGTACGAGTTATTTCAATGTAAATCAGATAGAAAGGAATATTTTCCATAAGCAAATAGTTCATCATGGTTTTAGTGCGTGGGCTGAGATACTGCCCGGGTTTATTTATTTATTTATTTTAACACATAGGTATTGGTACAAGGAGGCACCAAATACATATGCGCCACACGAATCCCAATTGATTTGTGTGAGGGCTGTGATACTGCCCGGGTACCCAAACCGAAGCAGGTGGTTTTCTTAGAGGGCAACACCCCGAGCCTTCGACCTAAGGGTCTAGTCCACAAGGCAGTGGAGCATCGTAAGAAGATGCAGTCCCATGGAAGCCGGTGACCAACGATTGGTTCATACGCCATTTGTTCCCTCAGGATACTGGAGCCCATGTGCACCATTGAATTGGGATCCGGTTATAGCGCCGGACATTCGCTTTTCGTCCTCTCATTTTCGTAAACAACACCCCCGCCACGAGAAGGCAGTGAGTAGGACTTCCCTGGCAGAGGCTGTATAGTTCTACTGTATAGAGGTGGAACTTGGAGAATCACCACAACCATCATCAAAAAAGTACAAGTATTTATAAACAATTCTCTACGCAAGATACTCTTTGTCCGTTGGCCGGGTACCATCAGCAATAGCCTGCTGTGGGAGAGAACAAACCACGTTACAGTTGAAGAGGAAATAAGTTGCGGAGATCCTCGAAAGCATAAAGGAAGCGCTAACTTTAAATGCTGAAGGGAAACGGGAAAGCGGAAAACGAAAAGACAAAATGCGCCGAGAATTGGAAGTAGACATGAAAAGGTTGAAAAGCGACTGGAAACAAGTGCACAGGACAGAGTTTGATGAGGGATGCTGCTGAGAGGTCCATGCTTCTCCACGAGGTAACAGGCGTAATTATGTTTATAGCAAATCACATTGGTTAGAGATTGTGACCATAGTACAAACCTGGATTATTTCCAGAGTTTTCACCATTACTTCAGTGCATAATGCATTGTAATTCAGTTTCAAGCTAATCACCAACAAAATAGGCAGTTAAAATCTAACCACGTAAATTTTGGACAATGGTGTTCACACTTATCTTATCAAGTGGTTCACTGACGTCTAAAAGTACATTAAGATTCTAGTATAGGAGTGTCTGGATTAGGGGTTATATAATGATCAACTTCATCATAAATTTGAGGAACATTTTTTTGAACTAAAGTGAGACTATAAGGTGATTTGATAAACGCTCGTTAATTAAGCTTAATAGTTAATGATTTTAAAAATTGCACAGTGATATTTACACGCCAGTAAACGGATAATCAACTCTCGTAGTGAAACGCATGGTTGGAATTACCCCAAGTGCAAAAATAACTAGGTGTTTGAACGTCTTAATTGTGTATGTGAATACAGATGATTAATAAGCTGCAAATACAGTAACTCCACGTATTTCATAAAAAATCAAACTTTTAGTATAGTAACAAGAATTTATAATGATGAACTCATAGTGAACTGATTTAACAGGGTACAAAAAGGATAACTAGCACATAAAAGAGTAAAAAAAAGCATTAAAATATGATTCAAGTCCAATAAGTAAGGTTTTAACTGTCACCAACTAACTGCCTAGAAATACTGCGTAAATGATAATTTTAGGAAAGTCAGATAAAAAACATTCTACTAAATATCAACTGTTGCAAATATCTAGAGCAAATACATGTTCAGGCACCCATTTGAAGTTCACATTTTATGGAAATTATTCCTTTACAGATTACAAAATGTTTCCATGTGTTACAACATCCATTGTCTTTTACCCGAATCTACCAACACTGTATTTTGCAACTATTCATATATATTGCTAAACACTAATTGTTGTCACTTCACTGATGTCAGTAAAACTCCAAGTTGCTTTTAATCATAACATGATTTACTCTTTCTAATGGATGAAACAATCGACTTATTAGTATACTAAGCCAATGTTGTGGGAAAGCTAGGACTGTAATAACGAAAACAAGGACTGAGTTATGAAAGACTTACTTCATCAATATCGAATGGCAACTCGTCATCTTCAGACTGCGAAGACATCCCCGTCAATTAGAACACCTAAACCAAGACTTTGTGGATTAAAACAGAAGCAAAAGATAAACAGAAAAAACTATGTGTGCATCAAGGTTTATTTTGAATATTGATACTAATTACATCAAACAAGTGTTTGGAGCTATCATCACTAATCGTAGATATCGTGCCGATCACATAGATACTGGATGATATCTTGAGGTGAAAAAAAGCGTCGAGAATCCATGTCAGGGATTTCAATACCTGAAGATTATCAAATCAAAAACCTTACTGAACTCTTCTTCTATTGCCATGACAAGCTCTACATGATCTAAACTGTCTATTCCAAAGTCTTCATTAAATCTAGAATTCAGTGTTATCTATAATTTGTTGAGGCGATACTAACTAAACCAACTTTGTACGGGTCGATTTTATCGTAGAGTCTTAACACGAGCATCACTCGATCTTCGATCATTGTTTTAGTTAATGGCACACCATGCCCATAGAATCTGCAGGGAATGGGTAGTGAAAATGTTTTAAATGGGGTCAATAAACATCTTCTTGATGCTAAAAAAGTCTTAGATATTGTTGAATAATTTGCAACCAGACATGCACGTCGAAACCCACATAAAACCGAGGACATCAAATTAATGTTCATATTGTTGAAGTCCTCAAGGTTATCAGTGGTCTCGGATTTTGCGGTTAGAATTTGAAGGGTGATTGACTTGTCTTAACACTTTTTCAGTTGACCACTTTGGTTAACTATTTGCCAAAATAAACGAAACCATAGCACAAAAATGGCTCATCAATATCATACACTCGGAGAGTTTCAATTTAGCTTTAGGATGACAGTAACTCAAATAAAGGACAGTGGTATTTGTCCTCGCTAAGTAAATTCCATTGTTTCGATCGTTTATTATGTTTCAAGACTATTGTTTACACTTTAACTGAATTTATTTTAGTTAAAGTATCCGAAAAGAGCGTAGTTTTTTTATCCTAAAGTAATCTATCGTCTGTATATTCCTTCTCTACGTTAACGAGTTACCGCTGTTGCTTAGGTCGACGACATTATTGTTTGCGGATGACGTAAAAATCTAGAGAACAATAAAGAGTGAGGCTGATCATTTGGATCTTCAAGCTGACTTAGACGATTTGGCCAGATAGGCCCGAGGTTGGGGCTTAGAAATCAATTCTGGGAAGAGTGTGCTAAGGCACATAGGTCACGGTAATAGTTACCATCATACTATTGATGGTAAACCTCTTCTATGCGTTCAAGAACATAAAGACTTAGGAGAAATAATAAGTCATGACCTAAAATTAACTACGCATTGCAACGCAGCCGCTGTCAAAGGTTTTCGTGCGTTGTGGTCACTTCGCCGAGCGTTCAAATATTTTGACGAGGAAATGTTTCGAATTTTATATCCCACCTACGTATCCAAGCAGCTAGCTCATGTCTGGTGAAAGATACTAACTTACTTGAGCGTTTCCAGAGTGTGGGGATGAAATTAGTGAAGGGTATTTCTAAACTCCCTTACGATAAGCGTTTATAACGCCTAAACCTTTACGCCTTGTCGTACCGTAGGACGTGAGGTGACCTTATAGTAAAATTTCGTATTTTTGATCATGATTTTGGTGTTAATATGTCTTATCTTTTTGCTCCCTCCAGCACTAAAAGTCTCCGAGGTCGTAGCAAGAAGGTTCGTAAACTGAGATCTAGTGAACTTAATGTGGGTTCCCGTTTCTCTCATAGAGTAGTCAATGACTGGAGTGCCTTACCCGAACAAGTGGTATCAGCCCCGTCAGCAAATATTTTCAAGGAGAAACTGGACCTTCTGTCAGGATTAACACAGTTTCACAAACCTACTATCCTTATTACTGAAGACTAAAGACTGACTAATGACATTCGAGTACTTTGTTTTTTATTTCATTTGTTAGTATTTTGGTTCTAACAGCAGTCTTCCACTGTTTTCAGTCATAGATCACCTTTGTCTCTGGGTACTATTGTAAATTGTTTCTTTCTGAAAACCTCTGTTCGATGACTGGACAGTGCAAGGAAAGCAATTGCCAACGTTCGGGCCGTCGATATCCCGTTGAAAGAGACATGAAATGCGATGAGTGCAAAGGCTGGTACCACGAAGCTTGTACGAATCTAACGCCTGCAGCTTTCAAACGGTTTAGTAAAAACGGCTCATGGTTCATGAGGGAGTTTCGCATCCTTCTCCTCAAGAAAAGAAAAATACGGGATATATTTAGGTTACTGGGGACTGATGAGACAAAATCTCAGTATTGAAAAGCTCGGAACACCTGTGCCTCGTGTCTCCGTAGATCTAGCGTTTGTAGGAAGAGAAAATTGTCTACGAACTCATCGAACTTCCTAAACGTTTCTATTCGTATATAAACCAAATGACAAAAAGAAGTGGAAATATTCCGGCATTATGGAGAGACAGTACTGCTTCATCATTATTGGAGGACGGCTTTGTTAAAGCTCAATCATTCTCAAATTACTTTAGCAATGTATATACCGTGGAGACACATTTCCCGTCAGTCCATAAAATCCCCCTACACACACATTGGACAGCGTGACCATAATAGAACTCGATGTTTTTGGTCTACTAAATAAGCTTGACATAGGCGAGTTCACGGGACCCCAAGAACTGCATCCTAGGTTACTTAAGGAATTAGCTAACTTCTTTGCGAACCCTTTAAGTATATGCTTTAATCTTTCAGTACCCAGGGTATTTTCCCAAAAACTGGAAGAACACCATAGTAAGTTCTATCTTTAAAACAGTTGTGAAAATTAGACCTGAGAATTACCGAACCGTTAGCCTAACTAGAATGACTGTTAACATTTTAGAAAACATTATTCTGAAGCAGCTGTTTCAGTACCTCGATGAAAAGCGGATGCTTTCTAAAAGCAGCATTCATATGAGGTGAAGGTGATAGCTTAGAACTCAAAAATGACCTGAAGAAATTATCTGAATTGTCTCAAACATGGCAGTTGCCGATAAATGCTTTCATGTGTATTGTGATGCATATCGATTATCAATGTGCAGATACATACCTGTGGTCCAGACACACAATGACTTAGGAGTCATAGTTAGCAACGACTTAAGGGCTACTACACACTACAGCTAAAATGAAACCTCTGTTTTGAGCAAACATAGTGCTGTTATCAACATTTCTAACACACTGACTTCTGTCTTACTTGATTATTATTCATCTAAGTACAAAATATTTGTTCTGTTCATACCTCAAACCGTCAGCCTCCTGTTTGTTTTACGGATATATTGTAGCGCGTTAAAGCATATTCGCACCATGCTGTATGTTTACTACCTATGGTAAGGGTGCCAATTATTATTACTCCTATAGAAAGTGGGTCCAAAGTATTTGAGACCAATAGACGTTATTAATCGATCATTCGCTTCAAATTCCTTCCTTATTTTCTTTCTGATGATCAATTTTTGGGGCACTCTTATCGATTAATTGGTGAATTCAGGTGAGCGATGGGTCCAATCAGCCTAGCATTGATTCCGGTAGTAAAGTAATGTGGTGACAGTTGGCTGTCACTGAATCTTAAACGTACGATCCTTAACGCTGAAAATATGCCAACAAAGAATTGTTGCACTGGACAGTGAATATAATTTATGAAACAGTGAAAGTCACTTATAGCCGATTGGGTTAAGTTGTAGAGGCACCAGGGTTCGGCTACTCAAGCGTGATGACTCCAAATTTTGTCATTACATTAGGTATGTTATTCTGCCGTTAAATTTGAATTTATCCCCCAAAGACCATGAAAATATGTTTTTGTATTCCACGATGTGTAATTGACAGTACATAGCGATGTGACTTTGGCTAAAATCATATATAGACAGCCACGTCATGGTAAGTTTATCACGCTGTACTGTATTCAGTAATCTAGTTCTGTAAATAACTATATACATATATATTGATCCGAAATCTTACAAATCTATGTTGTTGTACATTCAGCTTGAACGATCATGTGACTGAAAACCAGTGTTATTCTACTTTCAAAACAAATGCTTCTACTTGTTGGAGTTAGACTTTGCAAATAGGTCGGTACACCAGCTCTACGATGATCCCGTTCGGTTTTCAACTTTGATGCTGTAATAATGAGAACTTTTTGTGAGGTAAACACAACGAACATTTGGTCTAAACCTTTTGTGATCCTTTGTAACAGTCTATCTGACGATTAGGAGCTAGTTAATAATCCATCAGGATTAAAACTTTAGAGCTAACCAAGTTACTTACTTTGTACAAGGATTATATATCCTATTATTCTATGGCGAATGGTAAAAGATTCGTGTGTTTAAATCACGACCTCTTGCCCTTCTTTTCCCGCATACCAAGTAATAAAACTTACAACATTTTATTTGACATCCATATTGGGAAAAACAAATTTAGGTTTATCAAATATTGAATCTTTTTTGAACACAAAAATCCCTTTTTTTGATATATGCTCTAGGTATTTAGCCTTCTAATAATTTAAAAGTATTGACTTCTCACTTAGAACTAGTTTCAAAGGTCTTTGATTTATATACTTGACGTTTAATTTGTTTCTCCAAGTTGATGCTTCATTAGGTGTTTGTTGTATACTATACAATGTCAGTCTCAGTACAAAATAAAACTCAGAAAGATAAGGATGAACAGTCCAGTTATTTATTAGCATATATATATACCACAAAATTTATTCATTTACTTAAAATTACAAATAGGATACAACTGAATGGAAAAGCAAACAAAAAATACTACGGAGAATTCCATTAGTTCTTTCGTTCAATTTTGTAATTGTTTCTCTGAAATAATTCGTACTAAAATGATATTAGCACCACGAATAAATAATTGTTGTTCGTTGTCATCATCATCGTCATGATGATGATCATCATTAATGTGAATTTTTTCATTTTGTTGATTGTGTTGTTTTTCAGTGAAAGGATGTTTTTGACGAGTTTGTAAACTATACCAAAGTGAGCTATAATAAAATAAATGATAATTAAAGATAATGACAATAAAAGAAAAATAGTACTTAAGGTGAAGTGATGTAGTGAATATTAATTTCATTTGTAAATTGTATTCATCATAGACTGATCATCTTATATGAAGGGGGGTATAAATGAATAGCACAAAACATTATACAATTGTTAGGTGTTAGCATGGGATTTTTTAACAACAACACACGATTTGATTAATGATCAAACCCAGAAACTTCAAGTTATACAGCGAATGCTTAATCATGAGGATCAGTGAACTGGTATCCAATGATCTAAATTTTATCTTCAGTCTATTTACGATATACTTATAAATGACAATGGTCCCGCAACTCCCGACGTATATGAACTTAACCAGTTGAAAAAATGTTAGAAACTATGTTATGCGCACAGATAGTAAAATATATAAGTTATATGTAAGTGACCAACTTATCTTCCGAAATTGACTTAGGATTGTGTTGGAATGAACTCACATAAACGGCATAATATCATTGTGACTTTAGTACTAATATATATCAGACCAAGTTATCATACTTGATGATATTAATACAAATGGAAAAGAAAATTAACTAAATAAAAAGCTTAATGCATAAGGCATTGATATTTTAAGTACCATATTTGAGACTCAACAAAGGTTACATCCCACCGGACTAGTTACCAAACAGAATGAAACATGATGAATCCTGAATTTCAGTGTTTAGCTACAATTCATATATATTAGTAACACTAATAAATAATAACTTTTAAAAGTTAGTCATAATACACATATGACTTAAATAAAAATGAGGAAATTCAGTTAAAGATTAACAGATAAATTGTTGGTAGCAATAGAATTTAGGATGCGTGTTTCATTTCATTTTGAACTAATTGGTGCCAATGTTCATATCGGAGCTTGAACTGAGCATCTTTTATTTCAAACACTGAAAGTTTTATCTACTGAGTTCACATCACCATTACCTTTAAAGATGCCACAGGTATTCGGAGTTTGACAACAGCTTCATATATAACATCTTTATAATTGAAGTTTATCAACTCAGTGAAATCAGAAGTCAGAAATGGAGAGGTTAGAAAATATATTTGGAAGATTATCGATATATCGAGAAGCGTTTAGTCTAAGTTGGCTAGCAGTTGCAAGGAATGAGTGGCACGGTGTACCCACTCGTGATCTGGTGTGGATGTATGACCGAGCGATTTTAGCTAAGTGTGTCCAGTAAAATTAATGAGGTCAGAATCGAACACTCACAGAATTATTTATTTTAGGTATTTATTTACCGCTACATCTTGTTTGATGGATATGACGTTTATATCATAAATAAAAACGGTGAAGTTCAGGACTGGTTTTTATCAGCGTTTTCAGCAGATATGTATACTGTACAGCTTACGTCGACACAGCTATTTTTATCACAAGTTGTACCTAATAAATGTACTATTGCTAGCAGTGGAATGTAGAAGGCCTGTACTAACATCGCTAACTAGCGATTGTATTAAATACGTAATGGAAACTTAATAATCTATCAAAACATTTCTCAATATAAAATCATATATTTACTTTACGAGTAAAATTCCTGAACATAAATACATTATCAAACGAAACCATTAAATACGCTTAATTTAATAGTTGGATTCATGAGTCAATTAAAGCTAGACCACCATGGAAAACCTGGAAGCACTGGACGTTCATTTAGCCCTGACACGGGACTCCTCAGCAGTGAGCACCCATGATCCCGCCCACGGGATTCGAACTGGGGACCTACGAGTCTCGGGCACGAGCGCCTAACCTTTAGACCACTGAGCCGGCCGGCATCTAACGGTGTTAATGTCTAACTTCAACACTTTGTAATAAAACGTAAAATGTGAAAGAAAAAAACCAAAGCCACATGATATAAAACTCACATATCAGACAATTCAGACATATTTCGTTCATTCAAATTAACCATAGATGATGTCCAATTTGACGATTTATGACAAAAACAATTATTATAATTTTCGTCTAAATGATTATGAATATTCACTAAAACACTTTTATCAGCCTGATCGCATTTTTTGATAGATTGGTCATCATGATCATTTGTATCAGATAAAGGGGATTTACCAAGTAGACGAAAAGGTCTCAATCTATTAATTTCATCATCATAAGCTTCTTTTTCCACAACCCCATCTTGATCATGATTTCCATACTGATCAGGAAATAATTGTCCGATTTCTAATGGTTGACCTAATAACATTTATAAGGCATGAAAATAAAGACACATACCAAAGTTAGTGGAATAAAAAAAGATGTAAAATATAATTTGTAACAGATTGATTGATGAGCTGATGTGATAGCATCACCCCACAACGAAAAGAGAGGGTTAGGGATAATTGGCTCTAAAAATATAACATCTCACTTTGTCCTATGGATTTCCATCACCGGCAGTAACACCCTAAAAGTCGAGAGCAAGAGTATCAGGCACTACTTACAAAGGATTAAGTATAACCGACTTCAATCAGTTGTCCGTTCAGCAAGTTGATTGAAGCTGTGAATGAGAACAACTGGATACCAACTTATTGACCTGAACTTTAACAGCTTGCTTCAAAGTCTGAAGGTCCTCCTTAGTTTGATCCAACGAAAGATTGTAGATGCACAGTGTTGAGGAGTCCCATACTGAGATTAAACGGATCCCTATTGTTTTCTAACTTTTAGTGGCTGTCTAAGCAAAGCCAGTTTGTGATGTGAAACCTCGATATTCAGTAATCTTCAATAACCTTTATTATAACAATGTTAGTTTAGTTATTCACCAATAATTAAAAAATATGTCTAATTTTTAATTAAGATTGATTATAATCATTAACTAGGCTAATTGTCAAGATGTTTACAGTGAAATACACCTTGGGATTAGATGTTTAAAAATGAATTTCATAGAAAAGACTTTAAACACAGTTAATTCACATTCAAACTCATCACTAACTATGAATTCATTTACCAGGTAGAGATTTGCGTACTTGGCTTCCATGTATATCCGAAATGTGCATGGTTTGATGATACTACCCGGTTGCCAAGAATAAGGTAGGTGAAGTGGGGTTCAAACCTGAGAATTAGTGGCTGAAGATTAGATGCCTTAACTTCTGAGCCACTTCACACAAACTCATCAAGAAAATAAGTCTTTACAGCCTTCACAGAAATTCACACTTTGTGAGTATTTAAACTTGGTCTAAAGCATTTGATACTCTTCATTCAGTCGAACTTTTCTAAGGTTTATAAAATTAATCAACAGATGGTAATTAGTGGTTTAATTTAGTTATTAAAGCTGACCACTTGTCTACTGATTGATAGAATAAGGTAAATCCAGGGCTTTTCACATGTACAACTAACAAACATGTGATTTAGTTAAGTTTAATTTATTTCAATACTCGAATTAAATCGAAAACCAATAAATATTCAATCACAATATGGATCATTATATAAAAGACACCAATTTAATACCATATATGCTTAATGTATTTTGTTAGGAAAGAAACTATGTTTACTAGTCCTGGTTTGAACAAATGAGAATAATTAAAATTTACAGTTTTATGACATTGTATAAGTGATATAGTGTTCACTACATTAACATAAGCAATATTTCTTTTCTGGTCTATACCATGTTATTTGGTTTTTTTTTTAGATATTCACTTATTCGGTATTGTTTTTAGAGACTAAGATCAGTGACTTATGTAATAAAATGTAGTGTTAATGTGTTACCAGATTAAAATGAAAGCAGATTTGGTTAGTTAACAAGTACTTTACAGAGATGCTTCATACAGCAAAACTAAGATATAGAATCTATTCACGAGATCAACAATTGTTGGTTCAAGCCATATTAGTAGATTCAAACTACCGTGATAAAGATCCAATTGTTGTAGACATTAGATGATATGGCTTGAAATCGATCATACGGAGATGCAAATACATCCACTCTTTATCTTTTAGATACTCCTTAATACATGTCATTTTTATTTCATGTCAATGTTTAGTCTTTTTCATTATTTTATTGCTGTTACATTATTTTAATTTCTTTGTAATTTATCTCATTCATTTCATCTTATCATGTTTGTATAGTAGAGCTAACTGAACTAATGTATATTTATGCCAGGTTCTACGTTGATTACAGTTAACTAAATAAAATGAATTATAAATTAACAAGAAACTATACATATTAAGCATAACCTGATAGAAATGATAATATTCAATCATTTTACATAAATATTACAGAAATACATATTTACTATCTTTCAGCTGAACATCAGCTTGATTAGATGGAGAATGGTATAAATTTGAATATTTTTTTAACTGAAATAAAGCGTTATTATTTCGTTGAAACTTTCGTAAACGTTGTTCTCGTCGCTTTTTACTTCGTCCCGGTTTTCCATTCTACAAGAACAAATTAAGAAGAATATTTATGATGTGTTGACGAGAATGATAATGATTAGTTGTTTGTTTGGTCAGACTTGTAGATAGTCCGACAGGAGTTAGATGAGTTATATATTTTCCTATTCTTATTATTATTGTGATTGTGTCGGACTGTTGTCGGTTTCCGGTGTGGAAATACATTTACATTCTAATCAGGCTAATCACGTATTCTCGATCTGAGTTGTGTTGAAGTCCTGTAGAATAGACACTGAGAGGGGAATCTAGTTTAGATATTTGTCTAAGGCAAATTAGCGTCCCATTCGTGTAGACGAGGAAACTTTTAGCGTTATAACAATTTAAGATATAATTCTATGACGGAATAAAATCAATGTCATTAAATTAATCAAAAATATGTGCGTTGTTGTTATTATTAGAGTATAGTTGTACTATATTAACAGTTAACAAAAAAAACTATTTGCAACAAGTTAGTCAGTGAGACGGTAGTTTAGTGGTTAAAATGTGTTCGACTTTCAATCAGTAGATTCGAAGTTTTAACTTCATTCGGCCTCTTAAGTTTGGGCAACCGGGTAGTATAACTAGACTTCACATTAAAAGTATAACTTGAAATCAAATGTACGAATATGCATTTGATGAGTTACAAAACACAATTTCATCAGTTAGTAAAAACAGAACCTAGTACGAATATTCATAGACTGATTTTGTTATATTTGTATCTGAACTCTGAGAAAGAATATTAATACGATAGAAATTAGTAGAGTCAAAGTTATAATAGTTTAAATAGATAGCACAAAATTAAATACAAAGAATGTACTTATAAAAACAAAACAAATAACATTTGGAAATGAAATGTATAGTGTAAGATTTTAAGACAAATCATTAAAGGTCTCCAATTGTATGAAATGTATGCAGGAAGTATTCACCTAGTAATATATTAAGACTCAATAATTAATGTTGGCGGGACATAGATTGGATTAAACAATGCTCGATGCACGATTGCGTTGGTGCACGATGATTGACTAATTCTTGCCCGATCAGCGCTAGTCGATACTTGGAGAACACTCTATAATTTTCTCATGTTAAAACTATAAATATACTAACGTTTTTCCTACTGTGCTTCTTACTTCCACCTAACCTTGTTATTTGGAATATAATCTCTTTCCTGTTCAACCGTGTTCTGATTTTGGGATTTGTCGAGTGAATTGGTGCCCGAGAATACTAAGCAATAGGAATAGCTGGGTTGCAACGAGAGAATTATAACAAGTAACTTCATGAACTTATGCCGTGAATCGCTAGTCTTATTTCTACCTACTTCTATAGGAGAGAGAAACTGTAAACATTTATTTAAGTCTATTATGAAACTCTTTTATTAGTAATTCTTTATTATGGTTAGATTCCGTCTTCAAACTATTTTGATCTGAAATTAATACCTATTTGTATCAACTTTGATCTACATTCAATCTAATCCTATTTATTACTTATTGTGATTATTTTATTGTTAAATAAATAATAATAATATCAGAAGGGGTTTAGTGGATATTATAGCAAATTTAATAGTTGAGATCATGAGCCAATTGAAGCTAGACCACCGTCCAGTGCTTTCAGGTTTTCCATGGTGGTCTAGCTTCAGTTGACTCAAGATCTTAACTATTAAAATAAGAATAAGTTAGTATTTATTTTCTAGCTATTGTTCAAGTCTAAGAATTATTTCAGTATGATTAATCACTTACAGATATATTTACTTAGGTTTATGCTTAAACAATGTGAAGTTCATAAATATTACTCAGTTCTTTACAATAAAGTAAATGGAACAAGGTTTATGTATGTGCCCTCATAATGTAAAGTCCAGTTAAAAGAAATACTTTAAGCTGAAACTTTAAACTATATAAGAGATCATTAAGGTGACAATTATTTGAAGTATCTAAGATATAAGTTTAAGGTAACCGTATTATTAAGTTAGACAGTTGATATTATACGGGAGAAATTTATTGAAATAATCAATGAAATCTTTCATGTTTTGAGTAACATACATCAGAATCCGTAGCTAAAGGGTAGATGTATTCACTCAATCTTCTCTTATTATTTCATACATTTTGCAAAGCTAATTTATACTTTCTTCATGAATCACAATATCTATACTGAATCTTTTTTACTATATGGGATAGTATTACTACTTCCAATAGTCTGGAATTCACCGCGATGATTTCATCTCACTGTGTTGATGTAGAATGAAAACTTGAACCGATATATATATATATATATATATATATATATATATATATATATATATATATATATATATATATATATATATATATATATATATAGCACTCTAATCTTTAAGGTCACTTCTGATTGAGATCGATTGACCTTCACATTAAACTACTTTTGATTGGCTCTCCATATCACTGAGTAATATGACTGACTAGTCTGGATACAGATTTACAACAACCAGAATCTAATTATCAAAACCACAGTTAAACATTTGGTATCTCACGCATTATACATTTGAATCTTAATAAAAAAATGACTACTATCAGTGCCTATATTTCTGTCTAGTAAATAGAACTATATTCATGCAAATATATGTGATCCAACTAGGTATATTGATCAACAAAATTTTCTAAATTGCTCTCTTGTATTCAAACTAAGGGAATTAAATTAATGCCTAAAACTGTGAGTATAGATATATGAACGTAGTAAAATAAATGTAAAAATCAAAATGATTTATAGGAACAAACAAAACCTACACCTTTTAAAGCTGATTTCGGAAGACGAACAGAATATTCAGTCACATTCTTTAGAATCTAAAGATATTTAGAAAAGAATGAAAAATAAAAATATCGATGATACACGGTTAATTGATATACATGTATAAACATAAATGATCGGTCATCGAGTAGTGCAATATATATATATATATATATATATATATATATATATATATATATATATATATATATATAGTGCAGTTTCGTGGATTGGTTAAACATTAACACCGTTGGATGCCTGCTCAGTGGTCTAGTGGTTAAGCGCTCGCGCGCAAGCCTGATAGGTCTTGGGTTCGAATCTTGCGAAGCGGGACCGTGGATGCACACTGCCGAGGAGTCATACAATAGGACAAAATGGCCGTCCAGTGCTTCCAGGTTTTCCATGGTGGTCTAGCTTCAATTGACTCATAATCTCAACAAATTAATTTGTAGTAATTTGAAATATATTCCGTTAATGATAATATTTAATGAAGTGTGATCAGTCTTAGTTGGTGTATATTGTTTATCCATTGTGGATTGTCTCGATACATGAGCCAATCATGACACAAATTTATGCACAATAGATCAATTGTATATGTTTTTTTAACAAAAATTATTAGTTGTCACTTACTAAATTCCAATAACGATCAAAAGCAATTAAATTGCCAATAATTGAAGCACGAGGCTCCTTTAAACCACGAGTCATAACCATTATTTGACTTTGGTTTTGCATAGCTTTCCATAAACTAGCCATAGGACTGAAAACACGTTGTTGTCGTCTATGTGAATGGAAACGATGCACACCGTAATGAATTTGTGCAGGATCAAAACCTTATTTTTTATTAATGTGAATAAAAATAAGCATGTCAATAGGAAGTGAGGAAGCAACACAGTACAAATAATACAGTATTTATTACAACTGATGGAGGCTTGTTTGGAGGATAATTTAATAAAAATATTAAACTTATCATTACTCTAAATTACTACATTTAAGCATCAACTGATTGTTGAAATCAACTATAATTCATTATAAGCAAAGATGGATAGTGGCTAGCACTGGAATCCAGGACACACGTTTCGTCCTATTTGGGACTCGTCAGCTGGATGTACCTGCATCTCAGAGTTGATGTTCACTCTGAGACTCGAACCCAGTACCGTCCGCTTCAAACGCTATCACGTTATCCACTTAGCTACTGAGTCCTGATAGCCACTTGCTTGTGCAATGGGGTGAAGTTTAATTCACTTGATATTGTTGGGAAGATTCAAGTAGAACAATATCAAGTGAATTCAACTAAAATTCAGTTCACATGATTCACTAATGTGCCTGGAGGTTGATGTTTTCCATGGTTATGTAAATGTCATGAAAATAAAAACTCTATTGTAACGTCTAATCTTCTTTCTGTGTATTTGTACAGTTTTTCATTATTTAAATGTCACTGTGTATTGGCCGGGTGTGAGGCAATAAACCACCAAAGACAATGGAAGATAATTGTGCAGTGTCGTAGATTGATTGAAGTTAGATACCAACACCGTCGGATGACAGCTCACTAGTTTAGATACGTGTGGCGCCGAAGGTTATGGGTTTGACTCCCACTTGCACATGCTCATTCTTGAGGAGTAACATACTAGAATGAAACAGCTGTCTAATACGCTCAGGATTTTAATGGTGGCTCAACAATCACCACAACCCTATACTGACAATCATCATGTGCCCACTCACTAGTGACTAGCTTCGAGAGGAAATCCCCGGAGTTCTAGTAAGAAGCCGTGACTAGTGGGGCTATACCGTGTCGGGTGTGACGTACTTAGTTACCCAATAGAGACGTTTGTTGTTCAGTTTGTTAAATCATTTTAGATTTGTTCATGTATGAGTAGTAGTAGCATCGCCTGTATTCTCTTACCGATCCAATAATAAGATGCAATAACTGCTGCAGTCATTATCTAACAATATCAGCTCCAATTAATTTTGGACTACCAAGAAGCGACCTAACTCTACGTTTATAAGTGCACAGGGTATATAGGAAGATAAAAATAGGTAAGACAGACAGAAATCATCAGATCCGTGAATAAGAATTTACGTAAAACGGAATTAATCAAAATGACGACAACTTCTAGACCCAATCTTAACGATGTTCCAATGACAAAACACAAGTATCCACTCCTATTTTCCATAGAGCAGAAGCCTTTGTAAAAATGTTTGTCTATACATTTGGTATCGTAACTACTAACGTATAGTACAGATTTACATCATTATGTATTTCCCATCTATTAAGTGGGAACTTTAACAACTTCGCTAAATACATTATAGCTAGTCCGTCCATATGTGACTCAAATTCCAGTGAATGAGCCGGTACGTTATAAATGAATTATGTTGATTATTAAAAAAATATACATGGGACTTAAAAAATCTGCCACACACTATTCCAGTATTTCAGCAATGATCTTGTACGTTTACTCTTTGAAATTGATCGGTCGTTAGTTAGGTTTGGTATGGCATTTTCACTTGAGCGCACAGAAAATGGATTGCTAGCCTAAAAAAATTTCAAGAAAAAGATACAATTTACTAGAGTACCTATACAGTCTTCGGAATTAATGATAATTATGATGACTAACAAACAAAGGAAGTTGAATGGGATTTGAAGAGATTGATTTAATTTATCACAGAATGAAAACGGAGCACTGGAGAGCTGTTTGATCACAGTATAGGACTCTTTAGCAGTGAGTGCACACCACCGCTCCAGAGATCAAACTCAGGATTTCCAGTCATTATTGGTTTTTAACTGTACCCTGAGATCAATCCGTGACGCATATGACCTACAAACAATGAGAGATTTCAATGTTGAAACCACCTATTTTATAAAATGAGATTGAACAAGGTTTATAGCCTCATTTCATTATTCAAAAAGATATCGTAATTGTTTGCGCAATGATGGTTCCGAGACTTATCAACAGTTTTACAAAATGTCGACGAGGTAACTTTACTCAAAACAGACCCACAAGATTATTTTCCAAGAAAATATCAAGTTAAAAATTTGACGATTCTGCAGCGCGATGATCTGAAGGTCAAAACAAGCGACTTTCAACCCCGAGAAGTTAGGTCATGATCCCTTTCACTTAATTCAGTTCAATCAACCAAATACTAGTATCACTACAATATGAATAAAGTAGAACGCGAATTGGAGCATATAAATTCGTACTTGATATATAGAGTTATCCCTTCTAGTATACTTCTCATTCTGTGCATTCTTTCTTTTACTGTGCCAAATTGAGAACTTGGACTGACACACGTTTGAGTCCGGCTTTTAGCTGTCTTTGGTTCCCTGGTTAAAAGCGTTAAATATATATATATATATATATATATATATATATATATATATATATATATATGTAATATTCGGGCCTTGAAACTTGGAAAGTAATGAAGTTGGACGGGTATATGTATGTCTTTTATTATAATCAGTCTACGGAAATGTCACGATTTTCAATACCTAGAAATATTTTTCGAGACAATTTTGGTCATTAGAAAATACACACTAACTCTTCAACCTGGTTTGTTTTCATCACCGTTTTAGCCCGGTGGTCCAAGCCGAGCGAAAACCTGGGACGAACATGAGTATTGTTAATATTCTTTTCTGATTGTTACTTCCCAATAAGGAATGTTTTGTTTGCAAAACACTAGGTTTGATCAGCGTGTCCCTATTGTTATTGCCAATGCTCAGCTTTTATTAAATCTTTTTCAAATAAACTATAGCTGAACGATTAATCTTTGTATAATATGTGGGATCTACACAACAATATTGTTACTGTTGTATTAAGATGCCTAGATACTTCTGCACAGACTCGTACAATAATAAGACTTATATTTCACAGATCCAGCTATAAATGAAAAAGTAGACAGATGAATTAGCAAGGATAATAACAATAATAGTAACATCTTGTTAATTAACTAAGTTACCAGCTTCAGGTTAGTGTATTCAGCTTCTAACCAGTGATATTTTCCGGTTGTCCGAACGAAAATGGGACTCGACTATGAAATCTAGTGGCTGAAAATCGAACGCGTTTACTACTGATCCACAGACTCACTACTGTGATCAGTACAGTATGGAATCCAATATTCAATAACATGAAAACCATATAATTCACAGTTACAACCACTTTATTGACAAAAGATTACTAAACAACTACGTTAAACAATTGCTACAATAGTGTGAACATGTAAATATGAGTGGGGATTTTTTAAAGGTTTTGCAAAAAACAGTGTTGTTAAAAAGCGATTGCTTTTTGCAAACACGAAGAAATCCCTATACATCTTATGTTGTCTCAGTTACCACTCCTAATCATGTGTTCGATAGGACGACAACCTAATAACTGATACATGTAATGTTTTCAAACTATGGATCAAGGAATGAATTAATAATTTGAACATCTTAGTATACAAGATGGGTTATTTTATTTCGCCTATACAATAAGTATGAAAACACCTTAAAATTAATAACGTTGCTTTCAACATGCGTATGATTAAACAATTGAAAAGAATATTAACAAATAAAATATGTTGCATGTAACATATTTATTTAAGCAATCATACCTCCCTCTACCTAACATTTAGGTAAAAACAATCCAGCTTAACTGTTAACAACACAGACGTGATACTGAAACAAAGATATATTCTGACGAACGCATAAAAACATAAATTGCCAATATATAATAATTATTACTTCAAAAGTATACACAAAAAATATTCAAGAAAATAGAAAGTGAACTAAATGAGAATTCAGATGAATGCACAATATTTGCAGCTATCCCTAATTTGGCTGATAACAACGAATATTTGGTAGAGGGAATTTTTAGAGGAAAGAGTAATAGAAAATATCACCTGTACTTTATTTCCACAAAAAATGATATGTACATATAAGAGTGCTCAACTGGAATGGGGAGATTGTTGTACCCGAGTACCTTGAGTTAACGTAAAAATTTGTTATTTATTCTAGAACTATTAAGCACAATATCTGTATGGGCTTATGCATACTGTCTTTGTCATAGATTATTGTTGCAAATGTCGAGTCGAATTCTGTTGATGATAACAATGAGACGGATTATCAGACGTCTTGAATGGCTTTGTAGAAGGGGTAGGCAGAAGAGCAGTAGAATTTAAACGGGGGACATTAATTGTTGGTATTCTCAACGAATCGGATTTTTCATTTGGCCACTTCCCTCCAGGTAGCGAATTGTTAGGACTAGATCGCGTAGAACCATTACTTTTCAGATTTAATGACTGCTCACTATGTTGTAAAGAATACCACCTTCTGTCTACGAAAGGCTGATTACAATCATAGGCGGTAACACGCGAAGTTTTAATAAATGATGGGTTTCCAGTAAGAGAGTAATCTTTTCGTATAGAATCCATTTGAACTCGTGGCAAGTAAGTTCGGTAGTCGACATCTTTGCTGGATGACAGATATTTCTTCTGGTAAGTGTGGAGTGATTCATATTCATTATCAGCAGGATTGATCAAATTTATACGCAAATCTATATCCTTAGGAGAGATTTTGGTTTCCGAATTTGTTTCTATCATTGTTTTTACTTTGGTTTTCTGCACTAATAGGTGTGATAATGAAAGCGATTATTCATTCTGTATTTTAAATAAACAGATACATAATTTTAGAAGATATACTAATGAAAACATCCTAAAATAAATGAATCTAAATAGTGAAATGCCTCGCATATAAAAAGATAAATGGCTATCAGTAATAGGCATTTAAAAGTCCCTTGTTCTACTATGCAGTGTTTAAAGTCGTTAATAGTGCATAGAAGTTAAAGAACCGCAATATTCTGTACCGCTTAAGTCTACCACTGGAAAAGTATTTAGGAGTTAGTTCCACAATAATGGAGGAATCTAAATATAAATGACTGATTAAGATATTCGAAGTTTTTTCATAAGGCCGAAAATGTATTTTCTATTCACACATATTTGTCTTATTTTTCATCGTCAAACGATCGTAAAAATCGGGTTGATTAACTGCTTATGTTTTGACACTTAGTTTTTGATCTAATATCTCGGTCAGAAGAATGTTGTTCATACAGCTCATATAAACCTAATTTATCAAAAATTTTATCTTAAAATAGCTTGGGATTCATGGATAATTTATTGGCCTGGTTTTTTCGAGCAATACCACGAGGACTGTAGTAAGCTGGGTATCAACCTAACTAACTAGCGCCAGTATGAAGATACGTACAACTCAAACAATATTGTTCAAAACATCGATGAAGACTGAATTTTGTGTTGATGTATGTATGATCAAGTATTTTGTCAAGAGCGATATTCGGAGAATCAAGTTCCCAGGATATAAATATTCTTACAATAATATAGTAATAATTATGTACCTCATGAGCCATAAACCGATTGATACTTAACTCACATTTTACTTAACTCCCAAAGTGAAAATGGATTTTAACAAAAAACTAGAAGGTCTAGACATTGAGTCCACTGATCCTTAACTTACTGCTTACCAACTAATAAACTACTTTACCATCTCTTCCGAATTAAGTGCTGTATTTACCTCTAGAATAAAAGTGGTCTAAAAAGCGGATTGAGTATTGGGGTAACGTTATTTGTAGTGCAATATCTAACTGGGGATCGGTTTTCACATATTCCCTAAAGCTTTTTAGAAATAAGACCCTTTTTTGCCAAACAAAACCCGGATAAGAGTTGTTCATAAGATTAATCAAGTATTAACATATCTTATTAAGGTGTACTTTGTTGGCCAAAAACCCTGGATATATTAAGCTGTTTATTTGAAATCCGAAGTAACTCAGAAAAATTTAAGTTATGGTGGAATCCTATCCCTCGACATAATAAAAAACTACCTCATATAACTTTAACATATTCCAATAAAAGCCTAGTTTGCCGTCTTAACGTACAATTATTTCTTCCATTCAAGTCCAGTAGAATTCAAAAAGTGTTAAAGTCATTGAAGCCTTGTCGAGATACATAGAAAATATCAAGTTACTTTATACTTAAGCAAATTATTACCTAGGATTATCTGTAACAAGAAACACACCATGATATTACCCACGGAAAGATAGACATACAACTCACCAATTGCAAAGTAGGCGTTTTATTTAAAAGCGTTAATAAACTAGTTCGACGCAGCTGGATGCGACCCCCCCCCCAAACGTCCAAGTTGAAGTGCATGGGCAGCGCGTTTTCGGTCAGGCAAGTCACGTGTTCGATTGAAGTAAACGCTTAAGATTTGAAAAATGCATGTTGTACTGTAGAACATATCATCAGCTATATCAGACTTGAGTGCGAACACTGTGCAACCAATGTCTAAGTTTGGTCATTAAGAACTACGGGAATTTAATATTGGACTATCAAGTTTGCAGTTCTCTTTGTCATCTAAAGACGAACTGTGAACGTTGAATGCGTGAGTTTAGCAATAAGAAATGAGGGACAAATTTGTAAGTCTACTAAATTCATTGGATTATTCATTTACATTGCAGATGGCCTTAGTAACGCGGAAAACAGATGATAATCCGAAAACGTCTACGTGTTATATTTCATTATTCGTCACGACACTTGAGTATGCCAGCCGTTTCAGACTACTAGGTAATTCATCGGAAAGAGTACTTCAGAAGCGCAAGTTCTACAGTGGCATACTAAGTCAGAATGTCTTTTTCTTTCTAATTAATAGATGCACTAAAATCGCAGTTCTTGTCGTCATCTGTCGAAGAAAAACAACTAGCTAAACTATATGACGAGGCGACTTCAAAGTGCTTTCACAACGTGAGAGACAAAATACAAAGCGTCACGGAACAAAACCAGAACATGTATGTACTGATTTGAGGTTTAACTATTTAATGCTGTTCTACAAACGTAGTGTTCGTGATTAGCGAACATAACCGTAAGTTATACTTCAGGTTGATAGTTGTTTAATAAGCTATGGCAGTTAGACATCGTTGTAAATTTGTGTTTATTAAACTACAAAATTGACAGGAAGTTTATTATGGTTCAAAATGGCAACACCGAAGTTCAAAAAATGTTATTATTGAAATGCTTTTCATATTTAACTTAATTTTTATTAATACTTTTCGGTAACATGTACTGAATTCCTGACTTGCAGGTGAAACTCGAACTGATGAAGTGTATGTTGTGAAGTTTGTTTGACTTCACATGCACTGGTACGGTCGAGAGTGGGGAGAGTCCTCTCTCCCTCTCGAAATGCTCTCACATGGCCACGCGTATATAGCCTCTACCAGGGAAGTCATACTCACTGCCTTCACGTGGCGGGGGTGTTATTTACGAAAATGAGAGGACGAAAAGCGAGTGTCCGGCGCTTTAACCGGATCTCAAACCAATGGTGCACATGGGCTCCAGTATCCTGAGGGAACAAATGGCGTATGAACCAATCGTTGGTCACCGGCTACCATGGGACTGCATCTTCTTACGATGCTCCACTGCCTTGTGGGTCAGACGTTCAGGTCGAAGGCTCGGGGTGTGGCCCCCTAAGAAAACTACCTGCTTCGGTTAGGGCACCCGAGCAGTATCACAGCCCTCACACAAATCAATTGAGATTCGTGTGGCGCATATGTATTTGTTGCCTCCTTGTACAAATGCTTATGTGTTAAAAATAAAAAAAGGACACATTCCTACATAATAATTTATTACCTGTAATTATTTTTGCATATCTTTTTAGATGACACTAGGACTTTACAATGACGATGAGAGTACGTAATAAACATTGCTTGAGCACCTGTGTTATTAATCCCTGAGTAAAATGTAGTGATATTTATTGCTAATAAATATTTTACCTATGTACAACTTTTTAATGTACTCAATTGAAGTCATCGTGTGGTTTGATATGGAAACAAAGGTGCACATAAGAGACACTCAGAGTAATGTGGGAGGTAGAAAGAAAAGCGTGTAACCAAACGCAAAATAAAATGGTTTGGTAAGTACTTAGTCGAAAAGTAGACCTTTTTGGTGAGCACTTCGACGACGATTAGACAATGCAAAAACGATTCTGACATCGAGCGACAAAAAGACGAAGTTACACATTATTTTTCCGTGGCAAGACAAAAAGGAGGCTTTTGAAAGCGTTTCCCATTTATTTTTCCCTTGTTTC